CCTCCAAAAAAGAGGATCCGAACTCAGTTGAGTTTTGAGGTATTTATAGGGGGTTAAGGGTATAACCGCCCCCTTAAATATCTCCTTAATGAGGGTTTAATGGGGTCTAACTGCTCCCCATAAATCTCTCCATGATAGGGTAGTGATCCCCTAAAATCTTGGGGAGAAAACGGTTCTGGAACCGTTCAAATCGTGCTTGAACGAGTTAAACGCTGAAAACAGCGTTCTGGGCTCGAACTGTGCGTTTCTGGACCTGAAACGCACAGTTGAGGTTGAAAAACGCACAGCTGGGGCTGAAAACGCACAGCTGGAGCTGAAAAACGCACAGCTGGGCTGAAAACGCACAGTTGAGGCTGAAAACGCACAGCTGAGGCTGAAAACGCACAGCTGGGCCTGTAAACGCACAGTTGGCCTGTTTCAGGCTAAAAACGCACAGTTGTGCTGTTTTAAAGATTAACTCTGCGTTTCTAGATTGAAAACGCAGAGTTGAGCCTGTTTAAAGGCTGAAAACGCACAGTTGTGCTGTTTTAGCGATTAACTCTGCGTTTTGATGTTGAAAACGCAGAGTTGAGCATGTGCGCTTTGACTCTGTAATGCAGAGGCGAACCTTAGGCGGGCTTGGCGGGCTTCAGGCTAAGTCCAATGTTCTGATGAAGTCCAGTCTTGCAGACGGACCTCAGAACATAATTTGCTGCGAAGAACAGGTCATAACTTTCAAACCGTAAGTCGGAATTAGACGAATTATATATGAAAATCGGCTATCTCGACGAGACGGGGCCATCCGAACCAAGCCGGAGGCTTTGGTTCGCTTCCTCCGTTTTGCCAAATTCCTTACGGTTTGAGAGATATCTGCATTTTAATATGAAGAGACCGTCAATTTGTAGTCTCTTTTGCTAGAGCTTTGCACAGATCGTCCTCTTGTAATCTTCGTCTTGGCTCCTTGAAAATATGAGAGTCGTCAGGTTGTAACTCCCGATGTTGATTGTGAATGCTGTTGAATTGGGGCCTTCATTAGTTGTTGTGAAGGTCGTCAGATTGTAACCTTCTACGTGAAAGTCCTCCAATTGTAGCCTTCTGGAAGTCGTCAGATTATAACTTAAATCATCGGTGTTTGATGAGGGATTAACTATCTATTGTGATTTTTAGACAGCCTACATACGTGCCCATACCTGAAATTATATATAACTTTATAACATGTCACAAATAAAGGTTAACAAATAATTGAATAGGGTTAACATAATATGAATTACAGGTAACAGTATACAGATAAGAGTTAACAGGTTATAAATAAGGGATGACACAAATAGTTGAATAGAGTTATTTTTTTGTATTACAGTTAACATGTTTACATATAATAGTTAACATTTAACATGTTTTCTACAAAAGTTAACATGTTATCAACAAGAGTTAACATGTTATCAACAAGAGTTAACATGTTATCAACAAGAGTTGACACGTTACCCACAAGAGTTAACATGTTAGCAACGAGACTCAACATATTATCAACAAGACTTAACATGTTATCAACTCTGATATAGTTAACAGCTCTGATATAGAATTTAACATATCCAAAGATAACATGCTAAATAGCATAAGTTCATACATTAGCATAGATATAGAACAGCCAAATAACGTTACCATATTCCCGGGAAGAATGCATTTGCCCATTGATCAGGAGAGTAGTTCATAGCAATGTTGTATGCCCTTGGATCCATGTCATATATCTCTTTCATGTACTCATTCCATTCTGCTATTGTGTATTTATAACAAGCACTTTGGAGTAAGTTCCCAAGAACATGAGTGTCCTTCGACTTCATACCCAAGTCCTTAAGCTTTAACCTAAAATTTTTAACAAGATGTAGAACACACCTCGAGTGTAGAGCTTCTGAAAAAAACTCTTTTACTGATTCTTTAATTCATTTGTCCGTATCAGAAATTATAACCAATTGGTGGGGAGGATTGTAAGGGTCAGCCCTCTCATAATGTATGGACCATAGACCTTGGAGGAACCACTTCCAATTCATCAAATTCTCTTGATCACATATGCAATACGCTAAGGGAAATATACCTTGGTTCCCATCGTATGCTATGGCCGAGAGGAGAATACCTTTATATCGATCCTTCAAAAATGTACCGTCCAAAAATAGAAGGGGTCTGCATCCACTCAAGAAACCTTTGATGCATGCAGCATAACAAACAAAGAGTCTCGAAAACCTCCCCTCATTCTGGTCAACATGTATGTAACTGCCGGGATTTGTCTCTTTTACCATGCGCTCATACCTAGTCGTGTAAGAAGAAACAAACCAACAAGTTAACATGTTATCCGTGTAGCTTAACAAGCGACCAAAAAAAGCTAACACATTATTGGGGTAACTTAACAAAAGTTAACATGTTATTTACAAGAGTTAACATGTTAGTCGTGAAACTTAACATGTTATCAATGTTATCAATGAACTTAACAAGGAACATGTTAACTATTTGTTTTAACAAGAAAACTTTAAAACTTAACAAGTTAATAATAAAGCTCAGCATTTACCATCGTAGTTGATCATACGACTCATATATATCCCCGTAAAGCTTCTCATGTGCTCTCTCTTTCCCCTACCATATCTTACTGTAATCAATTCTAAGGCCGTAGTTTGTGAGGAACTCCTTTTGCACATCAACGGGTCGGATTTCTGGACGGACCTTCAGGAGTGGTTGTAACTGTGTTGCAATGAATTTACGGGATGCCCTTGAACGACCTGTATTTTGCCCGTACTGCCCACAAGTATGTTCATTAACAAACTTCTTGATCGATAGTCTATTTGCATTCTTAACAGGTGAAGCAAACAACATCCATGGGCACTCGTAAGTTTCTTTATATCGGCAATATACACGGATACGTTTTGGTTCGTTCTTTTTAAACTCATAATCAAACATTTTGGCCAGAGAATAGTATGTCAGCGCCAACCTTAATTCTTCAGCACTTTCAAATTCTTGACCCTCTTCAGTTAATGCATTATGCCACCAACCAGGAATCATTACTGTGTTGTTAATAATGTCATCAGAACGCACTACATTGCTACCACTGGGATTATCAATTGGAATTCTTTCAGAACCATGATTTGCGGCAGAAGTACTATCAATAAACTTTGGCTTCAGTGTATTCATAATGCTGCACAAATATAATTGGTTTTTCTTAAAATAACAAATAGGACTTGTACTTAAATAATGCAGTACCCTTAAGAGTTAACAAATATGCCCTAAAGCTTAACAACCTTCGGTAGAAAGTTAACATATATCAGTTAAAAGCTAACATTTAACCTGAAACAACTCGCTATGTTATCATTTCCCCATATTTTACTCACGCAATTCATAAGTTTTCAAATAAATTAAGTGTAAATATAACTTACATTTCAGGAGGTTGCTTCGGGGTGTTCTCACATCTGGAAACATCCACATCTATATTAGCTCGAATATGGATCTCCAGACACCCGATATTACGGTTGTGCTCCACCATACACTCCATATCATCCTCATTCTCGATCTCAAAACTCAGATCAGGGATCCTTTCAGATTTATAAACCATTGATAGCGCATTATAAGGAACCTTCAACCTCTCAGCCACGTCGAACTTAAACTCAAAAAAAGAGGTTGCAGAAGTTACCCTTGAGAACACTGCTCTCTCACCCAAGGAAACCATGAAAATAAGGGGGCTCTCCGCCATAAATGAAGGGGATTTAAGAGGAGTTATGAAGGGCACTTTAGGACAAGTAGGGGGCTGAAGATCATAAGCCCTAACCGCAAAGATCTGCCATTTGCACCATAAATACACTCTCTTCAAAGCCGAGTGGGTTAACATGAGATATAACGGAGGGAGCGCGCCAAAATTTCCCCCCAAAACGACCATCATCTCGCCTTAAATGCGACGGAGAGGTTTCGCCAGCGATCGGATCTCGTTTTCGAGGCACGGAGTTGAAGGCGGGGGTATTTTAGGGAGGCTGGGTGCAAATACATGTGTGAGAACTGCTTTTAGGGCTCAGTTATAATTTTTTGAAAATTTAAGGACTTAGCCACATGGGCCAAACTACAGGGGGCTGGGCTACATTGTATTTTCAATTTTGGGGCCTTGAAGCAATTTTTCCTTGTTTCTTTATATATAAAGAGAAGAGAACTAAAAAGGTGATTATTAGATTTTATTTATTTAGTTGTGGATGACTAAATTTTTTCTAAAAATGTTTATCAAATTTTTTATTACTAAAATTTAACTATAACTAAAATTTTCTAACTATATAGATATATTTAATTTAATAATAATTCTAATTATAGATAGAAAATAAAACCATCACATAAGAATTCTAAATTTAACAACAAAAAAAATTATGACACGTGGTATTGTTTTGTGTGTTTATGAGTCCTTATTTTATGGCTTTAGAACTATCACCAACATATATAAAAACGATGGATTTGATACACAAAGTTTTCAAGTTAGCGCTAATTTGCCAATTTGATAACCTCGAAGCTTTGATTTGTTCCTCACTTTTCCCAAACTCCAAAATTAAATTTTTTTTAGGATATCTAAGGAATCCAAAACTTGTGTTTGATTTGAAATGATAAAGCAAATAATAGGAAAACATATCCAAAACTCATGGTTGCTTTATTTTTAAAGAATAAGAAAAGAACCATCATAGAGAGAGGAAAAACTGAGCTGACAAATATGTCAACTTTCTAGCCCATTTCAAGCCAAAAGATAAGATTTGTGCTGTCCAAAAAGTCACCGTTTTCTCTCTTTTTAAGAAACATTTTCTTAAAAAAATTTAAAACAAACTCAACTTTTGGAATTCTATAATGACCAAAAACCTACTTCTTGATCAAAAATGCTGGTTTCCTAAAATTTTGGCCCAAACAAACAGCCCCTAAAAGAACTTTTCTCAAAACTTATATTCGATTGTTTTTCTTGTTGGACAGATTGATCTTATTTCAATAAATATCCGACCCGTTTGCCACCATGTGCTGGACATCGGGCAATTTGAACCCGGTTTGGCTCCAATCCGGGTCGAGCCGCACGCCATCAGGCGGTGCTCCTCCATACGGTCATCAAATTTGTCGTCAGTGTTTGCCACCGCCCGTACGCTTCGGAATTCTAGGTTCGGTCCTTTGTAGTCATCCCTCAGCACTGCAGGCGGCGTTTTCCTTGCATATTCCTCTCTTGGGCATTCTCACAAACGCCTTCTCTGCTTGTTTTGGTTTTCGAGCGATTGCTTTTTTGGGCTTGATTGGTATCTGCAATACTCGGAGTTCTGATAGATATATTTCATTCGGAGGATTTCTTATTATTACCTTCTCTGCTATATTCTTCTTCTCCTCCTCCTAACTGCCGAGCTCGGGGGCGAAAATGAAGGCCATGCAGCAGTATAGCCCTTTTCATGGGCCAAAGCTTGGCGTTTGCGATGGAAGAGCGACGAAGCAACAAAACCCTTGTTCAGAAATTCGTGGTTTCAAGAAAATGGATGAGGTTAAGAATTCCTGTTTAGCCTCCAACCGTGAAAAGTCGTTCTCTTTGCCGGTGATTGGATGCCAAAGGCGAAAATTTCCGATGGTTAATTGCCAGTCTAATGAAAGATTGGGCCAAGTTAATGGGCATCCTGCGGGGAAAGCTAAGGAGGAAACCTTGTAATCTTCTGAATTATTCTTTAATTCCACTGGGCAACGATTTGTTCTGACTCTTAAGATTAGGGTGTACTTCTTTATAATTCAACACTCGCAGCTAAGTAAAAGATTGTAGATTTTACGTCAGACATGTCTATTATTTTCCAAATTATTTTTTGTGCTGAGGAGGCAAGAATGTTGGACACATTACTTAAAACAGACACATTGCGACAATATATGACTAGAAATTGTCTACAAAACGAGTTCTACAATCGTTATCATGATCGCCGCCGCTTGACCGATGTGATGTTTCTTATAAAGCATCAGACACTAAGGCATACCAAACTGTGAAAAGAACACGAGGATACTGACTTCCTATTTAGTAACACAAAAAAAGAGAGTTGGTTTCAAATAATGCAGCCAACAGAGACCTGATTTTTTGCAGGAGAACATATATATATCTACCAAAACAAATGGTTGCTTCTGACTTGACACTCAAAATTTTGATAAGCAGCTGAAGAAAACCGTACGCTTGATGTTGATATTTGTATCTGCCACCGCGTGGTTCTGAAATAGAGCCGCCCCTTGCGACATATTTATAGGTTAAGTGATTGTATTTAATTCTGTGTAAATGCCACGGTATGTACAATAGCTAGTCAAATTGGCTTACATTTTACTGCACAGTGATGACAGGATGATAATGTGTATTACCTGTTTTCCAAGTTATTTAAGGCTTATTTCTTTAATCTTTTGCCTTCTTATTTGAGGTGTGATCTTTCTAAGGCCATATAATGGGGGCACTATTGTTTCTTCTAATAATAGATTTTTAGTCATACATATCATGGATTTTGCTTGATTAGTTTTTGTGTTTAATGCATCTTTTTAAGGTTTATGTATGAACATAAATTGAATGTATGTGGCACAATGGTCTGTACTGACATAAAGATTTTGAGTTGCACCCCATGCTGTTCATTCAAAAAAAAAAAAAGATCAGTATCACAATAATGCTGATTTTCTAAAATAGTATTGACCTTCCTTTTTGTATATTCTTTATTTTATTATTTTGTATGTAGCATTATCCTGAATGTTGCGTGCATGATTTATCAGTCTCTTACTTGCTTCTGTGACAAGGTCTGGTTTTAGTGACTCGATTCTGCATCCTGGGAGTGTCGGTAGAGAACTTACTTCTCTTGTTATACCAGCAGTCATGGCACAAGCTCTTGATCCGTTTGCTCAGCTGGTGGAAACAGCATATATTGGCCGATTAGGTATCCCCTTCACTTGCTGGATCTCATTTTTGTTTTGTACACCACTATACAAAATGAATGCTTATTTCTATATTTTCGATTACTTCATGAATTTTATTTTCTCTACTATGTTACTATGTAGACTATTAATTTCTATGAAGCAGTTTGTAGCCTCACTTTGTGTCTCATTCACTATAAGCATGTAGAGTCAGGTTGTAGGTGTCATGTTATACTATAGTCAACGGTTACATGTCCAAGAAACCTTTTTTTTTTTTAAAATCTGAATTGTGAGTTTGTGACAAAGTTTCCATTATAACGGAACCTAGCAGATGTTACTTCTCTTAGGGAGGGAGCAAGAATCCGGTGGTATCGTCTTCCACTTCATCCTCACCTGTCAGGATTGTTTGACTGATTCCATTTCTCTTACATTAACCTCCTACAAGTCCAATTTTTAATTTAAATTTGCGTTCCCGAATGACCTCCTCAGAAGAAAGAAAGAACTACACTACTAATCCTACACTACTACTACACTACAAGAGAGAGAAGATTGGGTCCATTCTCTTCAACTTTTTCCAAAATTGATGACTTATCAATGGAGCCCACACTTCTCTCTTGTACTGTAGAAGTAGCGTAGGACAGAGTAGTGTAGTTATCTAGGGAAATTTGGACTCTTGATTTTTGGTTGCATGAGTATAAATTGCTTCCTACAGACGGTAGGTTTACCAACTAGTCAAGTGATTCTCAAGGTTCTACAGTGTGGCCCTTTCTTGCTTATATTTTATCTGGCATAATAGTTGTGCACCAACTTCTATAGGATTGCTATTCATAAAGTTTATTCCTCTATGGATATTTCTCGACTTATGGTCATGCTTCAGTTTTGATCCTTTTCTATGGAAAATATTCAGATGATGATGATGACAAGGTTTTTTCTTGGGTAAATATTTAGTATACATCCCTTATGCAACTTAATTTAACATGTTTGCCTAATTATATTTTTTTCACTGATTGTAGTTCTAAGTTGAAAAAGGCTTTATTACATATATTTTAGATATATTTCAGTGCATATTAACTCGATTTACCTAAGTTCTATTTATAATCATATGTTTGATTCTGGTTCTTTTTGTCTGAAAGGTCCATTGGAGTTGGCTTCATCTGGTGTTTCGGTTTCTGTCTTCAACATTATATCAAAGCTCTTCAATATTCCTCTCTTAAGTATTACAACTTCATTTGTATCTGAAGACATTTCAAAAAATGCTAGCAAACAGTTTGAATCAGGTACATGAAATGAAGTTAATTGGTTAAGAAACAATGGAATATTCTCTAGGCTGACTTAAGACTAATAATTCTACAGATAAGGGCTTCAAAGTAGAAAGTTCTGAGCATAAACAGGTTTCTAGTAAGACCACGGTGAAACTGGAATTGCCGTCAGTGTCCACTGCTCTACTCTTATCTGTGATAATCGGTAGCACAGAGGCGTTAGCTTTGTTTTTTGGAGCTGGATTTTTCCTCAACATGATGGGAATATCACCTGTAAGTTTGTTTCTACCTCTGGTGTTATGTTTTCTTCTCTCTACTATGCAATGATTCATAAATTCGGTTTTGAACAGGCTTCGCCTATGCGCAGTCCATCACAGCAATTTCTTTGCTTGAGAGCTTTTGGGGCTCCTGCAGTTGTTGTTTCTTTGGCAGTGCAAGGTGTCTTCCGTGGTTTCAAGGACATGAAGACCCCTCTGTTTTGTGTAGGCGAGTTTTTCTTTCCTGTTAAGTTGTTGTATTGAATCTCTGAAAAACTTATCAGTTAGCAACTTAGCATGCTTGTTTTAGCACTTTGGGTATACATATTCAGTCCCTATGTTGGAAGGTTTGGGAAGCTTGTAGTGCCTTTATCTCTTTTAATTCTTATATTTTTCGTTTGTTTCATTTTCTCAATGTGCATGCTGAGATTTACTGATCTGGAAATGGTTGCCATTTCTGAGACCTTTTCTTGGACTTTAGCACCTCTTCAAAAATTACTCCCCCCTATCCCACCTTTATGATGTCAAAACCCAATTATGTTCACATCTCATGCTGACATGTTTTAAAACCTCTTCTTTTTGATGTTAAAACCCAATTAAGTTCACGTCTCATGCTGACATGTTTATAATAGGATCCTGAAGGGACAACATTCCACCCCCATTATCAGGCAAAAAATATTTTATTTTCTGGTCTAGCATATATGGTTGGCCAGTAATGTTTTCACAGGAAAATCTACTGTTTTTATGATACCTAACAACTGATTCTTGCAACCTTGCTATAAGTTTGAAGAGGTAGTTATGCCAGTGATATTTTTATGGCTATTCTTTTTGTGCGTGTGAATGTTTGCACACGTGTATGGGATAAGAAGTCATTGCATTCTTAGGAGGTTATAGGCGCTACTATTGAGGCTAATGAAAGAAGATTGCTATCGCAAGCAACAGAGGCCACAAGGTGCACCAATTAGGAGAGGTGATAGGAGTATAATTAATAGAGCAAAGAAGATTATAGGTAAGCCTAAGTGAACTTTGGTTGGAAACAATTGAAAAAGATATGATAGTGGTTTTTCATCTATTTGTGAACTGTGAAGGGTTTCAAATTCTGTAATGGTGTGACTAGTACCTGCTTTCCATCTCTACTTTTGGATGATGATTTTGCTTCTTGTGCGGGCTTTTATACCTTTTTGTTTCTGATTAATATGTTGCCACACTCTTTTTCAGATAACTTCTTATTTAAAATTTTTTTTGGGTATAAATAGGGGGCTCTAACCTTAGTCTAAGTTGCATACTGGCATACTTCTCTAGATGCCAAGCTTGCAAATTTGTTATTTGGTTATTTATTTGAAATATCACTCTAGATTCTATGACCTATCTAAAGTTTCAGGAATTTTATTGTGTTTCCTTTGTCTCATTCAAAAACTTAATGCTCTTGCAGGAGTGGGTAATGTTTCAACCGTGGTTTTACTACCTCTGCTTGCATATGCTTTTAACATGGGCATAACAGGTGCTGCTATTGCCACTGTTGCATCTCAGTACGTTATCTATTCCAGCAGACTCCAATAAGTTTTTAAACTTTTGTACAAAACAACTTCTTGTAGATAGTCTAACTTGTGTTCAGAACAACTTCTTGTAGATAGTCCGGCATAGTCTTTATTCTACTCATTCACATTTAAATTGATACATAATATTCTTCGTACTTTCATCCAGTTACGCGTCAATGTAATTGTAGCCTATAAATTGATGGGCTTTTTGATTTGTTGCGTCCATGGTGCTACGAGTTACATGATTTGTCATCATAATACACATCATTTTTTCCTTGTTCACTTATTACAATTGAAGAATGATAGTGATATTAGTACATTACTTTGAGCCCTCAATAGATCTCTAGTTACAACAGTATTAATTTATTATTAGTTAAAAGGATAATTTCTTGCAGTGGAATCTATTGAATATTAGGTTAATTTTAAGGAAAGAGAAGGATTTCCCCCCACAAAGAAGTTGAGGGATTATCATCGATTGAGCTGTTAGTGACTAAACAAACTTATCTGCCCTCATAACAGACTCCATTTTGTTTTTTCTAAAATAAAATAAGACGGGTAATTTCACAAACCCACTGGACTTTGGGTTGTTTTCCATTATTCGCCCTAAACTTTATGAAGTAGGGAAAATCCCCTGACCTTGTTTCACTAAAATACTATGATAAACAATGGGTTAGTTTAAGTTTGTCATGTGCTTCCTACATGACACGTTTTGTACACTTTTTCTCTTATCTACTTTTTGCCTTTTACTAAGGGAATTTTCCGGGGTTAGGATTGATAATATTAGTAAGGGCAGTTTTAGATCTTTTGGACTTTTACCCTTCATGTTAACAGTGTTTATGGCAATTTCGAATACTTCAGGGAGTATTGCATAATTTTGAATGTTCAAAGGTGTTTTCTCTAATTTATAATAAAATTTAGGAGGGATTTATGCAAGACCCCGAAGTTCTGTTGGGGGTGGGGGGTGGGGCTGGGGGTGTGAATTTTACCCAAATAAGAAGAATATATTCTGTTTTCCTCTATATCTGGTTTTCTATGTCAATGAGCTGTTTTGCACATTGGTGATTGCTGCATCCAGCCATTATGGCATCTTTGTTAGCAATTTGAATATATTACTAAGTGCCCAACTTAGCATTATATTGTACTAATTAATATTTTACTACGGTTCATATCATTCATTTAAATCTTAGAGCTGGTGTCATTTAAATCTTAGAGCTGGTGGTGCTTCTTTTTGGTTGTATTCTACATGGATTATGATTATATGTCAATTAGTTTCTGTTGCTGTTAGATATATTTTTCCAATGATATACAAAGTCTTTGTTGTTGCTGTATGCTTGTATGTACCAAAGATATGAAGAAACCTTTAGTTTTTTCATATTAATACTCTTGTATGTACCAAAGATATGAAGAAACCTTTAGTTTTTTCATATTAATACTATTAGTCTTGGACTCTTGGTTCCAGGTAGGACCCATAAACTTTGGATGCAATATCGCAAAATGTAGAAAGTGTAGCCAGTAATTCATGTTATAGTCTTATCCCCTCTACTTTAAGATTACTTGTCTTATTTTGAGCATGTTTCCCATCCTTAAATAGCCTTTCTCCAGTGAAATGCAGTCATCTCTGGCCAGAATAAAGAAAGGCATTACTTTAAAAATATGGCTAGCTGAATTGCAAAGTTCTGGCCAAGGCAACTCCTAAGAAGATTGTATGTTGATCTCAATTATATGTAGTACATGTGATGAACCATTTTAAGTATTAGAAAGTTAATATCGACAAAGTATTGCACCTTGATGTGTATCTTTAAATACGCAAGAGCATACAGTAACCAATAGTATGTTTACTTGGATCCTGCATCAGCTGACATTTGCTTTTTGTCTTAAAACCTCTTAAAATTATCAGGTATATCACTGCTGTGTTACTCATTTGGTCTCTCAGTAAAAGTGCTGATATATTTCCTCCTAAGCTAAAGGACTTACAGCTTGGTGGATACATAAAATATGGTGAGACTATTTTTTGAAAAATGTAAATTGTTTTCTATGATTGTCTCTTATTGAAGAAGCGTTTAGTGCTGTGGAGTAATCTTGATTTCTATTTGTTCACAGTTTCATCAAATTCTGGGATGGACAGAGATGTTTATCTTACATCAATCATTAAATAATGTCAATAAAAATCAGTCACTAAATTGCATCAGTCGCTGAATCCTCATTATCAAGAACACCTAGTAATATTTTCTCTCATAAGTGCCAGCAGGTGATCGTTATGAAGAGACATGCCTTCTGAACTGTACAGAAATGTTTGTTATAAAATTGGGCAGTATTGTCGAATCCTTCCCTGCTGTTGTTGATTAAATGGTTTGTGGTGTTTAACTTGCCCACACAAAATTTCTTGAAATTTAAAAAGCATTGCAAGTGAATGCAGTCGGCTACTGAAACCCTCTTATTAAAAAATTCCTCCATTTTCTCTGGCTTATCATCTTGATATGTATGTAGCTTTAGTAATTATGCATTTCCTGAATGTGACTATTTGACTACAATTTCTTGGAAACATTAAATTTATGTTTTCCTGGTTAAGCAGCCATATCAACTTCAAGAGGTTTCTGTAGCATTTTAATCATTAATGACTCCATTGTCTTTTCTCAATTATTTGATTGCCAACACCTTACAGGAGAAGAACAATGAATCTTGTTTCTTTTATGACATTGAAGCAGGACACAAAGATGTTTTTTGATTAATATCATATCAAATGGTTGACACTACTTGCCTTTTTTACAATTTTATATGCGAGCCACACTTTATGAGTCTTTCCTTGAAACCGCTTTCCTTTTCAGAAGTTGCACTTTAATAATATTTTCTTTTTAGGATAATCTGTGCATTACTGGTTGCAAAGTGAAATTTTACAACTTCAAGTAGCTTTTTTATTAGTAGTGTGAATATTTCTTTTCCCACTCTCAGTCATAATATCTTAACAATAACAGCTTTGAACTTATTGTGCCTTGAAATTGTAATGACTTTTATTCTTTTAGGGGGGTTACTGCTCGGGAGAACATTAGCTGTACTTATAACTATGACAATAGGCACGTCCATGGCTGCTCGACTTGGGCCATTGCCTATGGCTGGTCATCAGATATGCTTGCAAGTGTGGATGGCTGTATCTCTCCTTTCGGATGCATTGGCTGTTTCTGCCCAGGTTTTTCTCTTCTTGAACTGGAAGACATTTTTACCTAGTTCATATAATTATAGCAATATCAATGAATCCTTGCAATTTCTTGCTTTATTCTACCATATTATCATTCTTGAACATGCATGCATGAAACCCGCTAGTGAATTGAATTCCTCTTTCCGTTGCCTATACAACAATTGGCTATATAATTAGAAACTTAAAATAATATAGTTTTGTCTTGTGTTAACTCTAAAAAGTTGGATGTGAATTTAGCATGTTAGAGTGTAGGCATTATAAAGTGGTTGCAGGGTATAGGTACTTAGTCATGCCATTTTGAGTTCACTTTCATGGCTTTTCTTGATCTTGTCATTGTTAATTTCAGATCATGTATCTGTTGAACTAACTTTTCATTTGTTAGGCACTGATTGCAAGTTCTTTTGCAAAATCGGAATACAAAAGAGTGAAAGAGGTTACATACACTGTCTTAAAGGTGATTTTACTCTGGTAAAATTTTGATGCTATTACTAGTACAAATATATGGTACACATGATTTCTTGTTTCAGTTTTGTATCCTTCAAGGCTTCTAGTAGCTAATATTGTATTCTTTAATGCAAAAAGTTTAACAAAATTCTACTTGGCCAGACAGGGATGTTTGCTGGTATTTCCTTAGCTGTAGTTTTGGGTGTATCCTTTGGTAATATTGCTGAATTATTCACCAAAGATGTACAAGTGCTGCAAATTGTTAAATCTGGTCTTCTGGTAAGCCCTTGGACTGGATTTCCTTTCTATTTTTGTTTCTAATGCATTAGCTATGGTCTAAGTTTATTTCAGTTTGTTAGTGCCAGTCAACCAATAAATGCGCTTGCCTTCATTTTTGATGGCCTCCATTATGGTGTTTCAGATTTCTCCTACGCAGCTTTTGCTATGGTATGGTGCATGTTTTTAGCTACTTGATTTATATTCTGTACATTTTCCTGATTTGTAAATTTACTTGTACCTTTTTCCTGACATCACTAACATATTAACTCTATTGGCTAGATGATATCAGGAGCTATATCTTCTGTAGTTTTGTTGTCTGCTCCGCCCTTTTTTGGTCTTCCGGGAGTTTGGTTTGGCTTAACCCTTTTCATGGTTTTACGCACTGTTGCAGGATTCCTAAGGTAAACCTTTCTTAGTTCCTCTTTGTCTGCATGAGTTGAGTTATACTCTTATCTGAACTTTGGTTAGCTATTTCCACTGTTTTCTACTGTCTACCTATGTTCATTGTTTATATGCTGTCAGCATTGCTACTGGATTATATGCACAACACACAGGCTGTAGATGATTAAGTTCATTTATATGCGTTATGATGGTTTAGACTAGCAGAAGCTTTTGTAGAGCTTAGCTGGCAAAGGGTTTTAAATATTAGAAATTATTTTTTATTGGTTCTTTATCCATTTTCTTGAAACTTTTTTGGCAATTATAATATCCAATGATTCACTTATTTCTATTTAAGTTAAATAGGTGGTATAACAAATTTTCCTCAACGTGAACAGCCTTCAGAAGGACAGAAATTTCTCTGTTTATATGACTGTTAGTTTATTTTGCAGATTAAATTGGAAAACAGGTCCATGGTGGTTCTTGCAGCTTGATGCTCAGATCTTTGAGGTTAGTGATCTAGCTTCTTGATAGTAAGGATAAACCATTTCTATTTCTCTAAATTCATGAATTAATGGTTGTTACTATTTCTCTAAATTCATGAATCTTCTTTTAACGATCTAATGATGATGTGATTTTGTTTATGGTTGACATAATGCAATGGTTCAGAATTAATTATTAACTTGGTATCTGCAGGAACCCATTTTATGGTTAATGGATAAAGTAATCTTGCAAGGCTGTCCATATCTTCTATCATTAATTTTTTTTGTTAAGGCATCAATATTTAATGATAAAATCCACATTACCTACTCTTTTTGTATATGTTATGTCTGCGAAATTTTCCATTCTATGCAAGCCTATTACTCATCATTTTTCAATTCTTAATTCGAGCCAAAGGTAGTTATTAGACCCTAATGCCACTAGGAAAGAACCCTAGAGGGGCGTGAATAGGGTTTATGTTAATCTAATCTGATTTAAATACTAATTGAAACTTACTAACAAATATCCTAGCAAATATGATATGCAACATGATATATATACAAAGATAAGTAAACTAAGCAATGGCAAACAATATAGTGGATGAAATAAACAAGATGCAATAGACGATATAAGATGAACACAAAAATAAATGCGCCAATGCAAACACAAACAAGCAATATGATCACGGAGTTCGGAGCTTTCGTCCTACGTCTCCGCTCCTCACTCCCGGAGAGAAATCCACTATCACACCGGGTTTTTAACGCTCACCCAAAAACGTTTACACCTCACACTCGGTTTTCTAGCTCACCAAAAACTTTACAATCAACACTCTTGCAATCCCACTCTACACCCTCTAAGTGTTGATCTCTAGCCTGTGTCTCACTCAAGTGCTCGGATTTACAACCTCTCCCTATGCTTTACGACTGACGCCACTCCTCTTGGGACGATCCTATCTCTCACCACACACTCCTCTCGGTGTACAAGTATATTACAAAGTGTAACTCACAATGAAGACACAAATACAAATAATTTATTCTCTACAATAGATGAGAACTCAATGAAAGCTCACACTTCAAGTCACACAATCTCACAACCCCAAAATATACTATGTATGAAATACTAAAAGCTCAATAGGTTGTGTGTGTAAACAAAGAGTAAAATCAAATATAAACTCAATTTAATCTAGCAAAAGTAAATATAACAAATTAAGCATAAACAAGCTAGATAATGAGTTTAAGAAAACTTCTCTAAAACAAGAGTGGAGGGATGTAGATTGAAGCCCAAACAAGAATGGATAATCTCCTCTTCCTCTTGTGAAAATTTCTTCACAAAACAAACTTGAAACAAAACTTCAACAAACTTTAAACCCTTGTAAAACTTGATTAAAACTCTCTTTTTTGGTAGCTAAAAATAGTTATGACAAAGGAGTATATATAGGATGAAAACCAAGCCAAAAAACCAAAAAAACCCAGCAAAAAGATAAAAAATAGAAAGATGAAAAAACTAGTCATTACAGCATCAGTCGACTAACGGGTTCGATCGTTGACTGATGAGCTGACCGTTACAGGCAGCTCACAGCTCATCAGTCGACTGAAGACCTCGTCAGTCGACTGAAGACATCATCAGTCGACTGAATAAAAAATAGAAACTTTTTGCAATTCCAGGCGATTTGTTCAGTCGACTGAACCCTTGCATCAGTCGATTGATAACATAATGTCAGCCTGTTTTGAATAATAAAACTGAATTTTAAACTGCTTTTAAAAATAGCAAATAAATTCAGAAAATATAAAACTTTAGGAAATGTTTATAAACATGTTACAAAAGGAATTTTTAGAATTGTACTTCCCAATTGTAAAATCTTATCATTTTTTAAAACTAGTTCAAAACATGAAAATACAAAACACATGTTTTTGTCATTTTGACTTAAATAAATTTTTAAAACTTTATAAAATGATTTTATAGACTTGACATAAAATATAAATTGTTGTTAGTCTATAAACAAGAAATATATTGGTTTCTCAAAATTATATATTTTATTCATTCTTTCAAAACCAATGAACATGAATTCATACCAAACACATATAAACATGAAACAAAAATGTATTTTCCAATTATATTCATTTGTTTCATATTTAAACTAGAAAACCATAAAACCAAAATGTGTGTATATATATAACTATATACTAGAAACCAACAAAATGTGTGTGTATATGATATTGAGCTTAAAATACCAACACACATAATATAAACTCTAAACTAATTACCCAAGCTTGAAGAAGGTCTTCAATGAGCACGACTTGATAAACTAGCGGATGAAGCTTGAACTTGAATATTTAACTTGGATTGCATTGCTTCATTCCACTATTTCCGTCATCCTCCAATGGATATGATCGTGAATGCCCGATTCCATCCAACCTCCGATTCATTGTTTGTCTAGGATAAATAAGAAAACACAAACACTAGACAAACAATATTAGTCGTAAATTGTTTGTTAAAACACCATCAAAACAAAAAGGCCAACAGTAATGTCATATTCATGTATTTTACATCTGAAAAGGTTATATTCCGGTGATTGTTATGTTTTCAGTGATACCGGCTCAGCTAGTCTTGGTTTCTTCTGGTTTCTATACATCCTATTGGCTCATTTCTATTGGATGTATGATGGTACTTGACTTCTCATTATACTCCGTCGCCTGTACCAACATCCTGATGTTTGAGGAATCTTGGTTTATTAATAACTCTTTAAAGTGATGGATATTTACTCCCACATATTCCTCAAATGTACTAATTATTAAATTTATAAACTTCCAGATCGAGTTCACTCTTTGTTCAAAGCATCAGGATGTTTAAAACAGCTCACAACCATTAGGATTATTTACACATATCCTCTGAATTGGCTTTACCTAGTGCAGAATGTACATATTTTACTCTTGTAGCATTCTTTCAGATCACATAGTCATTTGGCATCATTGCGACCCATGTAACATAGTCTCCGAGGAACTTTCTGCAGCATTTGTCGCATTGATTTTATGCACCAAATTGTTAGGTTAAAACCTGAAATATGCGTTAGAACTCCTCTCTGTTCATTTTTAATGATTGGGTGTTCATAATTAAACTCCAACCTGTGCATTCTGATGTGTAAGATGCCAGTGCCCAAATTTAAGTGATTAGGGGATTAGTATACTTTCTTTCTATCCATTACTTCGTCACGAAGGGGCAGCCATATTAACAAGTTATTATAGGTCTATGAAAATGGAAAAAGAGAAGCATTGAAAAGGGCTGGGCTTAAATATTGACTGTGTTGCTCCTCATATCTTGCCTTTTCCTGTTGAACTTGCCTTTCAAGTTCTACGAGTCCGGTAAAATATTGCTATTTGCTATTGTATCTTATTAGTATTTGGAATATGTTTCCCTCTTAGTTTTCTTCGTAACTACATATTCTTACTTGACAGCAGACATTCTAACATTGACTACTTCTTGCTTAAGTATGGTGTTTGTAGCATTGATATGTACCATTCTTTTTAGCAACCATAGCAAGTTATGAAGCACTGCTGATAATTCATGGCGATTTTTTTCTTTGCAGTCTCAATTGCTAGAGTCTTCAGATTCAAGCTTGCCTGTGGAAGCAGATCAAATGCAGAGGGATTACACACACTCCACAGAATGATACTTTTTTGCTTCTGGCTTCAAAATTTAACCAAGTATGCTTACTATTTTACACTTTCACCAAATAGAGCCTTAAAGTTCAGATATCGTGATGTTAGTCGGAGAAAAATATGGAATTTCTCTATCATCTCTAACTTTAGATATAACATTCGGCAATTTTCTTCTCGTATAGATCTCTCATGTACATATTGTTGAATTGACTCAGATAAAGCCAGATGGAAGTTAGCAAGCCCATCAGTTTGTAAAATTTCCTTCCAGTTCGAACATTTTGCTTCAGGCACATAAGCTTTGCCCGTACTGCTTGTCGCATATTTTACAATGTTATATATATTTTGAGATCAAAGCTGCTGAAAGAAATGCATTTCTATATTGTTATTCAAAATCCTGCTTTAATTATTATTATTTATTATTATTATTCTTTTTTACTTCTTCGGAATATCCAAAACCCAGGCTCCTTGTTTTTCTGAAAGAAGGCGAATTTTTGAAATAGAAAGTAAGCCTCAACCTAGATGTGTTGTGAAACTTATATGTGATTGAAGTGGAACTTCATTGTGGGATTGTTTCGAAGGATAAATGGATAAGGTTACCTGCTGGAATTGGCGTATGGAATATATTTCAAGTTTCAGATAAATTTAGCTCCAACTTTAACAATTAGAAGCATGACTATAGCTTAAGATTTAAGTTAGCCAACTCCATTCTATAACTGGTAATCAGATAAGTGTTCGCTCTTATATTTTCTTCTTCAAATAAATAAATAAAAAATAAAATACAAAGCAGTAACAAAAACTTCTTTGTAATGAATTGCTGTGAGCTCTTCCCTTATGTGAGTAATAGTAATGTGATCTTTAATGCATTAGTCTTAGCATTTTGAAAATTTTATAGTTTAGTACGCTAAGGCCCAAGAAATTGAATATTGGTCTTGCAGTAAGCATTCAGGTCAGAACATGACTGTTAGAACTTTGATATATGGCTCAGGGACCACCAATTTCAAACAGCAAGCATTGGCTAGAGCTGAGAAAAGTTAAAGAACAGATGAGCATATGAAACTAAAAAAACATGAATAACCTTCCCATTATCAAAATTCAACTCAAAATGCTTGAATTTGTCTGTATAAGTTTGCTCTTTGAAATCCTCGAACAAAACATGAACATCAACAACACAGACGACAACAAAAACAATCTGAAGTAAGTTCTCAACTCTTGCATCCCCAGCTCAAGCCCATCCATCGTCTTCCTGCTGCCTCTATTTTCTCCTACTAAGCTCCCATCAACTACATTTCCACCTATAGATATCCATTTCCCAAGCTCTTGAGCTTTCTTTATTTCATCAGGACCCGTTTCGAATAACTCAATGAATGCCTTGCTCCAATCATTGAGAACCCTCTGAGAGTTGATTTTTTCATAGTGGTTAAACAGAAGTTGCGATGTATTATGAAAAGATGTATTCATTCTATTGAATTTTACGTACCTTGAAAGTGGTAGTATCAATTGGATTAAACATTTTAAAACAGTCCTTTGAAGAGGCAGACTCATCCCCGTATATCTGCACAAAAATTAAAAATATAAACTTCTCCATACAGGGATGTGTAAGCAACCCTATTGCTGGCTGTGTCTATAGAAAAATCATACAGAAAGGAAGGAGATACATGACATTTATCACACTACCAATTCTAAATCAGTATTATCACTATACAATACTGGTGCAATCAGAGTAGTGTGTCAGTGTATCAGTGCAATCATCAACACTGTATCAATGCATGCAGACACTGCATCAGTGCAAAGCATCAACTATAAAGTTTACTTCGGATACTTGTCATGATCTCCTTCGTTTCTATATGATTTTTTTTTTCTACGGAAGACCATCAAATTAATTTTCTGAAAAATATGAATAAATGCTTAGCAATAGCAAAACTGACCTCAAAAGTGAAAGACACAGGCACTTTGGCAACATCATACATGTAGTCAGTTGTAGTCCCATGGGCAAAATACCTGGAAAAAACCGTAGTTTGTTAAAGGTTATCCTTATTCTGTTCTGATTTGATCTCTCATAAAAGAAATAAATGGTACAAACCCAACAGCACCGCCACCCGACCCAACTACACATCTGTCTTGGAAATGATGATGGTTTAAGTCTACAAGCACAGATTTCATCAACTTTGACGTAAATCCCTCCGGGGTACCATTTTTGTGATCATAAGGCATGAACAGAGCCTGGCTATATAAGAGCAGCACCAAGTAAGATAATAGAATTAACAGTTATCTACAATATAAATGTTAAAGCAGCAGAGCACCAATCCATATTAGCATTAGCATTATGTGATGGAGTTATTTTTAGCAGGCATTAGACATTAGTCAGATACAGGTTTGAAATTATGTGTTTTCTTTGATTCTCTAGCGAGTAGTTTGAGGAAGTAGCAACCACTTCCCAAAAAATAATATGAAACACATAGTGGACTCATTATGCATCACAAATGTCAATAGTTGAGTGTATTTGTTCACTCAAAAATCATAAAGTTTCTACCGAGCAGGTTCTCAACTTTTCTAGCACAGACACAAACTCAGAAAAAATGTCTACCAAAGTGACCCCTGTTTTTCTTTCATCCCGACATTTGCATGGTGTCATCTACACTGCTCTGGAACTTAGACAACCTTTCCTAATGCCTTCTTGGGCTATCCTTCACCATTTAGTTTCAGTGCAACAACTGACTTTAAGATATTTTTTTTCATGTGATGCTTGAGTATTTGCAGTCCTTGTGCCACCAATGCATTTTTCCCCCCGCAAAGTTTTCCCATATATAAAATCATTTCCTATTGATTTTTTTTTAAACTTGTTTTATTTATTTATGTCAACTAATATAAAATCCTCGATGTCCTCATAAATGAGCAGTCCAATAATCAATGATGTCTGGGCTTTCTAGTTGCAAACTGTTTTGAAAGCATATTCTTTTTTCTGATGTTCCAAACTGAGTCTACCTATTGGGTCCAACCATAAATCAAGACTCAAACACTGGTTCGCCAGAGTAGCACAATCCTCTCGTAACTTAAGTTTCATCTCTAACGATATCATTTCCATAGTACTAACACCAAAATCAAGATACAAGCTGAAAAGGATAAGCCTATTAACTTCTTAAATAGGAAGCATGAAATGATTAAGAAGGCTTTATTGATTAGTGGAGCATTATGCTAATTAAAAAGATATGATAGTTAACGAACCAAAGAAGACTAGAAATTGGTCTGTAAGAACAAATTTTAAAGCAGATCCAGTTGGTTGACAAGTTGAAAAAAAAAAAGAAGGTTAGTGGTGTAATGAGGATTAGAAGTTGGTCAATGGAGCCATGAGGGCTGGAAGTGGGTCTAATTTTAAATATCCGAGCATGATTACAAACAAGGATTTTTGATAATGTAATTACAAGGATTATAAAAAAATGGAAATTGAAAAGATAAATGTATCTCACCTCCATTCCAGAGTGTACTGTCACCCATATATGTGGATCAAATGATTTCGTGATCTCACGCATAATTTGAGCCTCAGGTTCGCTAAAAGGAGCGACTCCCGGATTTTCTTCATAAGGATCATAGTCCTTGAGAAAAAATAAAATATAAATAAACATCACGTTATGAAGTAATGCACTACTACACAAGCTTTGATCAGAATTAAACCACAATAGCAACTCTCATAGTTACAAGTTTCAAATAAACATAGTATTAAATTTATTAGACCAAAATAAGAATGAAAGACCAAATTCTGATTTTGGTACGTTTGAGTTTTATCTACTTTCAAAAATGATTTTGAAGATCTAATTATCTGCTCCATTGTCTATTCCTAACTATATTTCAAGTTCCACAAAGAAATGTTTAGTTAACCTTCCATTAAGACGGAATAACATTTATGACACACTTGCAAATCCTAAGTAATAAGAATTGGGGGGAAATTAGCTATAAGAAGGATTTGGAGACTAAAAATTAAAACTAAGGGGGTATATACTGAAATACTCAATTTAAATGTGAACTGGAGGAGTTACTTCCCTATATGAACCCTAAGTAATAAGATTTTTTTTTTTTTTTTTTTTTTTTTGGGGGGGGGGGGGCTATTAGAAGGATTTGAAGGCTAAAAATTAAAACTAAGGGGGTATATACTGAAATACTCAATTTAAATGTGAACTAGAGGAGTTAGTTCCCTATATGAATAACTGATACATACAAGAATAGTTTTTGAGGGCCTAACTTTGGATAAATCATCAAAATAAGGAAAAAGGAGAACAAACCTTCTCTTTTTTGCCCCAATCCACACTCCAATTTCTGTTGAGATCAACTCCTCTTCCTGGAAAAGGAAATCAGACAATTTGAAATAAATGTATATGGGAGTGTTTTGCGTTTCTATTTAGTAAAAAAATTTGCAAATCTTCCAACCGTTCCTCCTCTCACAGAGATCTCCAGTTTCAACGAGTTTACGCCCATTTCTGTTTTCCATTGGCACCACCTAAAATAAATTTATGTCATTCTGCATATCCAACTTGCCAAGAACCATGAGATGCAATGAATATACAAAGACAACCCACAAATATGCTACAACATAGCCTTTTATCCCAAATCTTTTGGGATCAGCTATGGGAATCATATTTACAGACTCATTTCATGTAGAACTGACTTGACTTTATGTCGCGTGTCAACTACAGAATGCACCCTAACATATAAGCTGTATGATTTAAGTAATTAGAGAAAACAACTTGTCAGTGCCAATATATAGAACAAGTAAAAACATACACATGCTACGATATAACTATAAAATATCTAGAAAAAAAAGTATCATGAATTATTATGAGTTGACTTAGTTACTAATATCATGAATTATTATGTGCCAGAGAAATATATTCAAAGGAACCAAAATACAATATATGAGTTGACTTGGTTACTAAACATGATTATCATTAGTTTCCAAAGGAAGAATCAAGATAACTACAGGCAAGGATCAACAAAAATATACTCGAAAAATATCAACATATTTAAGAGCTAGGAAGCATATGTTATGTGTCCAAGAACATGATTATTACCTACATGCAATCCACAAACCATTCAACTTGGTGCAATAAGTGATATTATATGGTAATAGAACTTTGTCTGATATGAATAAAGCATACCTGGATAAACTTTTTTGAACTTAACAATAACATAATATCCTCAAATCACAAATATGGTAAGGACTAAGGAGTTTGGTTGTATAGACCATAATAATTACTAATGTATACAGATTCTTAATATTAGCAATCATAATCAGTTGCAAAACATATTTCTAAGAATATGGTCTATGTACCTTGTACACGGACACAGAGACAAGACCATAACATGGATAGGGAGATGGGAATTTTAATAAACTATGACAAGAGGATATGAACACAATGGGGGTAAGGAAAATTTGTAAAAAGCGGGATTTCCAGATGCATGTACCAGATGGACATATATACATAAATCTGGGAAATAAATATACATATCTGCGAATGAAAAAGTTCAAACAACAAGAAAAGTCTGTCCCAAACTTTTGAGGCTGCCTACATGAATCAGTCTTCCATTCATTTTTGCACCTGTTATCCATTAATTGCCAAACAATATGATCCATAAACCATTGTTGGTTTCATAGCTTTCTGCATATTTTTCCTTCAATTTCATAGATATTCTATGGTAAAATAGGACGCCATATGTGCTTCTCCACTTTAACAATCATGATTTGATTTAATGAACAGCATCGGCCTCAATCTTACCATTGAACTAATTGATCTTAAATAGAAAAATTAGTGGTCCTAGATATTTCTTGACTGTCAATATGCAATATGCATGCTTTTTTTTCACAGTTTAAGTAAACCTATGTTTTCATTCAGTCTAGTTTTGTGCTACTCATTTTAAATGTTATAGATTTGAGAGCTTTTGGCCACCTTTTTACTTTTTAAAAGAACTCTCTTGTCTAATCTCATCATATAATACTATGTTGTCAACAAATAGCATGCAGCACAAAACAATCATCTTGAGTATGCCTAATCATTGTTTTAAAAAGTCTCCGCCTAGTTCGCCTGGGCATACGTCTAGGTCAAGGCGGTGCCTAGGCTGTCTAACTAGCGCCTAGTGCCTGAGCAGTACTTAGGCTGCTCATCTAGGTTTTGGGTGTGTTTAGAAGAGCATTGTTTGCTTATATGGATTGTATCCTTTAGACAGTGATCGTGATTTCTGTGTTGTAGCATCCACATCCTACAACCTCCTTCAAACTCTTTTAACCTCTAAATATGAACACTTCCACTACCTCCTCTGACCTTCAACAAAACCTCCTAGACCACCACTTAAATGAAGAAAGAAATCTGCCTAGACACTAGTTCGACACCTAAACTTTCTATAACATTGACATTTACTATCAATTATTATAATTTAAAAATAAAAAAAAACCTTCTAGGCTCTAGGCGTCGGGTCCAAGGCCTAGGCCTCATAGTACTTTCTATAACATTGTTAGTTATTATTTTGGCTATTTAATATTTAAGTATGCATGATTTATTGTGGATCTAAGATTGCAATCTTTTTTACAAATTTATATGAATTTAGTACATATTTTTATCAATTAGTATAATTAAATAATTTAAAAAATAGTCAAACGCCTAGGCACCGTCTAGGCGTACGTGCTAGACACTAGCTCAAACGCTTAGTCTGCCTAGCGCCTTCAGTAACATTGTGCCTAATAAGTTTGTTCTCACCTTAGTCATTGCTTTATGATATCATATATATCTTTTGTCGCTTTAATATCCCTAATGCTTCTATCTTTTCTAAAATCCATGTTAAACAAAAATGTTACCACTTGTGATCTAGATCGTTAAGTGGCAGATCATTGGCAAAAACTCAAATGAACATAAACATATAACATGTATATAAGCCTTTAGATAGCCAGTTATTGTCTATGGTTGAAACAGGAGTGCATCAAACACTAGAGACTATACTCACCTTTATCACAACATTATTCAGTATGCTGTCGATGGAATCCATATTCATGCCACGCACACTAAGTTCCCCAGTTAAAACAGAAAGAAGATGCAAAGCAAGTTCGGACGTTATAAGCTCTCTCCCATGCTGTCCAAAGCTCTGGAGGGGAAAAAATGAGTGTTAAGCCAAAAATCCCGACCATCAAATAATCATATAATAATTGAATATAGCTTGAAGAAGAAAATCAACATTGCCAGCAATTGAACTCACAAGAAGAATCTTGAACTTCAAACTGTCGGGTTTTCGCTTCTCTACACGATCATATGTAATCACCAATATCTCAGCAAAATAGCCCCTATTTCCTGCTCTGATAGTTTCAATCTGTCCAAAATCACCAAAAAAAATTCACATTTTTGAATTGCAAAACTAATCGCAACAATAATCACCATCAAGATAAGAAAACTAAATGAATATTAAATGAATAGCTTACATTTAACACATCAGGGTGCCGGCCCACCAGTGAACTAATTTCTCTCAACAATTCATCACTGCAAAAGGATCATCTTTGAGAAACCCGTAATCAAGAACAGTCACTTAAGCTTCTAGTCAATCGAAATTAAATCAACTAGCTGACCAAAAGCTACCAAGAAACCAATTTGGATCAATTTCAGCAAAAGGGTAATACTGTCGGATCCAATCCAATATCCAAGCTAACCCATAAAAATAAATACTCGCAAGAATCAAGCGGCAAAATACACAAAAAACCCAATTGGGTTTTGTCAAAATCTAATCAAAATTCGAGATAAATAAACACGAGGAGATCTCAAACAAGACTTTACCTCGAATGGTAGAGATCTTGTGGGATTTGAGTGATAGGAGACAAAGAGGAGTTCCCGCCATGAACAAGAATTGGGCTCTTCAGGAAAGCTTGGAACAAAGCTAGGAAGAAGAAGAAGAAGAAGAAGAAAGGGAGAGAGGATAAAGATCGCATCTCGGATGTGAGAGAGAAGGGGGGCAGAGAGATCTCTCTCCTCTTTGACAGTCGGTTCGCTTTTTTCTCATATCATAGTTTTATCCTTTATTTGATGATGATGCTTAATTGATTGATTAATGGGGAAACCTTTGATTATAACTATAAATAACAAAGATTAAGGTGAGAGTGATGATCACTGACAAAAGAGAAGCTGTCAGCAGGTAATAAAAAGCTGTTAATGGCTTGTGTCTGGATCCGGACCGAGCCTCAAAGAAACCATGGGCCTTATGTAGTTTTAAGCCCAAATATGAATGTTTATTTTTGGAAATTGAGTCCTTTTGTATTGTGAAATTAGTCCCCAGTTTAATTTGTTGTTTTCAAATTCAGTCTCTCACATCATCACCGAGGTTACTATTAGATCCTGCAATTCTTAATTATAAGAGCAAAAGCAAATCTTGTTTCAGATGAAATTCTAATGGACGACTTAATATAAAAATTTGAATCTAAATGATGGACAATGCATCAAAACAAAAACAAAAAAATTGTGGAGGACAATGTATGGCTTAGACGGGAGGATAGTTTAACTTTTTTAAATTAATACCTTCAATCACAGCAACAACAACAAGATATAAGAACTAGAGGGCCTAATAATACAATTTTGATGCTTTAAGGGTTTAGTTATAAACTATTAAGGACTTGAGGGGCTATCAGTAAAAGCCCAAGATAAATTGGGAGTACAATTTTTTTCTTGTCCTCATTCTAGACCTAAATACTTTTTCTAATCTTTTATATTAGACATCTAAATCTTTATATTTTCTCATTTACATCTTCAACTATATTCTTCTTAAGTGATTTTGCATATAAACCTCTTATATCTTTTATAATTGCAATCTTATCCCTCAAATCTTGATATTTACACCATTATCTCTCAAATCTCTCACATTGGATGAGAATTCTCGTCAAGTTGGGACAAAAATACCCTCTTCTTCTTTCTTCCCTATTTTTATCTCTCTCAGTAACTTTGGCGCCCCCTACTAGCAGCGACCTCTTCCCTCTCCTCATTAGCAAACAATCCCTTTACTCCACCCTAATGGAGAAGTCTAGAAAATACGACATACAACATGGAGGAATATGCACGTCATGATAATTAATCGAAATCAATAAAATTAGGAGAATATTTTTAACTCCAATCTTCCATAATCCATCTCCCAAGATCTACCTAAAAATTCCAAAGCTTCTCCAAGAGAAAGTGCCTCTAACTGAAATCCATCCATCATCGAAGACGAGTAATACAAAGAGATAGGCTCTTGAATATTCTATTCTTTTGTTTTTGTTTTTTTTCATCTTATCTTCATAAGATTTATGTATCTTCATAAGGCTACATTTGAACGCTATTTACAGGATTAGACTAGCTTTATAGATAACAAATTCTAAACAATTTAGAATTATCCAAAAAACATAGTCCATAATGGTTAAGGATAGAATAGAACTGTGTTGCATTTATACCTTTTTCTAATGACATTAGTGACACCAATTGCGTCTCATATCGAAAACCAATTATTAATCATATTGGTAATTTTAATCTAACAATCAAATCCCTACCGACCAATTATTCATAAAAGCTCTTCCATAATATGGGATTAATTACTCATAAATAATATTTTACATTTAGTGCCATCTAGTAGCATTTATTTTAGGCAACTCTTTTAGAGTAGGATGATTCACCTATTTGCTCATGCTTAAACTGCAATCCCTTGATCATAAATGAAAATCATTTTAAAACAGCAAAGTATTTTATTTTTATAAGAAAATAAATTTTTAAAAATATTTTTCAAAACCATCTGTCGGCTTGAATTTAATAACTTTATAGAAATGCATAATAAATTAACTCATCGTAATGAGTATACTAAATTCTATGTAGCTATCCATCGTTTTCTTAAATAAAATCTAGCAACCTAACATTTTAGGTTGTGCACCTCTACTAATAAGCTTAACCATTACATCAAAGCACACTAAATTATCAAATTGAAAACCACAATATCATTAAGTCAAAGGGACCATGTAACAATTTGAATTCTCTATCTCTTAAGTGACTTGTCTTAGAGAATCCAAATGCAGTCTAGTGCTACATACATCACAATGTATGCTTATGACATACATCTAGGGAATCCTTATTCGTGATGGTTGAGGCCCATCACCATATATCGCATGTCGGCGTCAATACATAATAACCTGTTATAACGAAGTTATTCTTTACTAATTATAGGCTAAACACAAATTTAAGAAATATCTAAGTTAGATCATATCTCCAAGCAAGTAATCATCACAGTGCATAATCTAACAAAATAATTTCTAAAGATACTATAACAATTATGAAAATGATACCCAATTTATATGTGCAATAATTAAATATAGTATTGTTTCAAGTATATTGCATAATTTGTATTAGATTTTTAAGGACATATTAATGAAGTGTGTTCAGTTTTATTTTTCATTTTTTATTTGTGGTCTTTGATTATCTCTGACATTTTTTTGATCCATTCAGAGGAGGACACTTGTGTAATCCAGTCACCTATGCCAATCAAGACCAATAACAACAATGACAAATAGAACTGGGTATCATCTACCATAGGAAAGCCAATCATGAAGACCATCGACATAAGAAAGGAGGCAAGGGAGGAATCGCCACCGATGAGGGGTGCTAAGGTCAAGAGGGGGTGGGACAAATGAAAATGGGGAAGAAAATCTACCGAGTCAGACGATTGAGAAGTTTCAATATGGCTTCTTTAGTCTTGAGTTTGATCCCTAACTGATTTATCACTCACCGCGGGTGACCCGGATGATCGAGAGATTCCAATATAACTCTCATAGTCTTAGATTCGATTCCGAACAGAGTTATTAAAAAAACAAAGAAAGAAGAGGCGGCTTGAGAGTTCGCTTGAGAGCAAGCTGCCGTATAGCCCTCCTCTGGGGCCAAGTCTTAGTGAGGATGTTTTGTCGGCCTCACCGAAGACCCTTCTTGGGGCTCTGTGATAAGGCTGATGGTACCCTAGCTGCTTCATCAGGACCTATAGATAGCCTAGTCTCCCTCTCTTGGTCTCTGGCTGTAGGTGTCTCAGCGAAAATACCAACCATTCACAAGACAGAACTATTAAGCAGATGTTCCATCTTGCGATAGCCAGCGTATGCCCTGATCTGGTCCAAGGCAACCCTCTCGGTGCCAAAAAAGTCCCCCACTGTCAGAGCCTCCCTCCTTATTTCAGGCTAATTCGAGCAACCCAAATCTAAGTCGTCCCCCGAGACCCAGATGAATTTCTCCTTCCACTCCTTATTATATTTGGGGAGATCGACAACGACTTTGAATTTATCTACTACCTAGAACTGGTAATGGGGTTCTTTCTGGTACACCTTGATACTAATCAGATGACCCAGCACACTCAAGGATGGTTGGATTTCCAACTAATGACAAATAACTATGAACCCCACAAGGGTCGCGATAGCGTTGGGCTTCATTTACGTCGACGATACCCCCAGGACTGTGAAGACACAGTGGAGGAAGGGATGTAGAGGCAAGCGTAAGCCGAACTCCAGGTGCTTTAAGTATAGCGGAGCCCTGCTTGTGCCATGGTTGTAGACTACCTCTGACTTTGTTGGTGCCGTTAGCTTGTAAAGGCAGGGGATATCAAATCTCCCATGAAGTGATCTCAGTTATAGCATCGTCGCCTTTGAATGGAGCTCCGCCAATAGTTCTTGCTTAGCATTTAGAATAGGCGCCGCAATTGGAATATCCTTAGAAGATCGTTGGAGGAAAGCAATCCGAATTCTCTTTTAGTTAGGGATTAAGAATTTCTTAGAGGTAGTAAACCTCTCTCCCTTTGCAGCAGCCTTACTTATATGCTACTAGACCAATAGTTATCAGAATCCTAAGCGGCCGGATCGGTATTTAACCAACGGCCAAGATTAATTCCAAAATTCAAAACAGTTGCTCCGGGATTAAAGCACATCACACCTGCCTTGGTTAGCCCACAATCAAGCATGAAAAGCAAAGTAGCGGCAATTAAAAGATGTTCGCAGACATCAACCACATCGCACCCGCAGAACTTTTTAGTTCTCCTCATTAATGTACATCAGGACTCGACTAGTCCGTAATCTCATTTCACTCGGACCCAGCCTAGACCGACTCGAAGTGAAAGGGGCCAACTGTTATAATGCTTCAATCATTGAATAATAATCTCCATTCAGTAGTAGACAAGTGTCCCACATTAACTGCCTAATTAAATCAGTTCACCACTTCGAGATAACCAAAAGTCCCTAAGCTCATATGACTCAAAGGGACGACATCTCGCGTGGTTCGCTCAAAAGGCAGTACGCATCGACCTCCTCACCAGATTGACTACCACCTATTTGGCTGACATCTCACGAAGCCGACTCGAAAGGTGGTACTTCTCGGCCTTCTACCCGACGAGTAGAAATGCGATGACATAACTTGGGTCCCCCTCTTACTGACAGCTAGTTGCCATCACATTAAATGCATGTTTAAAATCATCATTTCTCTGCCCCTGAAGATCTTTATAACACATCAGACCATGTTGGCACCACGTGCTTCCTGTCACTTCATATTAAATGCTGAAGTGACTCTCACCACTGGGAAGCCGACACCTGTAAAGCTATTACTGACTCAGCTGCCAGCCCATATTCGATGAAAGTTACCAAACCACCCCTCTACTATTACTATAAATAGGAGGACTATTCTCATTAAAAGGGTAAGCAATTTTCCTGGTCAAATGCTCAAGAACTTCTACAGTTCATTTTCTTCTCTACTCAAGCAATTTACTGACTTGATCATCAGAGGAACAACTGAAGAACCCAACTCCGCCCTCTTACAAGTTCTTATATGTGCAGGGAAGAACAACTCATTCCATGTAAAACCCCGTATTTTTGTTAGAAGTATATGTGAATTATTAGTGATAAATAATTCTATTATGATTAATGACTTGAGGTCATAGATACACTTGATAACAAGTTATTAGAGAAGTATGAGTGTAATTATATAGAGTTTTGTACATTGGTTTTGGCAATTTAGCAAAACATGCACGAATCTGGAAAATGTCGGA